AAACCATTACATTTATTTATAGATTTAACATAGATCTCTGTTTTTCAAGCTTTAGTGTAATAACCTGGAAAACTGGACCCACCTTGATTTTCTAATTAAAAATTAACCATCTAATTGATGGTCTAAGGCTGGCCCCAGGGGTTTATATTTTCAACAAGCCTGCAGACTGATTCTCATCTGGTGATTGGCAGAGAAACACTGCCTTAAATTCTGCCTGACTAGGAGGTATCCTTTTCTGGATAGAGGAGGGAAATGTCTAAAGATCAAAATAAAAAACTTTCCAGACAGAATTCCCAAGATCTAAGAACAGAACCCACAGCTTAGGGAGTACCCTATGTCACATTTCACCTAAAGAAACACATTGAACACCTGGTAGATGCTAGGGAATGTGGCGGACCTTTCTCATTTATTTAATCCTCATGACAACCCTTAGAAATTAGTGAAAAATATTATGAGACTTATTCTTAGAGTTCAGTAAATTTTTTCTGAAAACTGCCAAATAATATGTTAGGCTTTCCAGGCTATATACAGTTGCTGTCCCAACCAGAAAATGTTGATGGCTGCTGTAACAGTATCTTCTGTATGGAGCTACTGGGAAAATAAACTGAGATAATCCTTATAAAGTACTTAGCGTGGGACCCAGTGTTCAAAAACTGTTAGCTATCATTATTATTATTGAAAATGGGAGTCAGAGAGGCACTTTCTCTGGGAATTCTCAGAGAAAGAGGACCTTCCCTGAAGATTTGTGTGTCTAGTCCCTATGGCTAGATTCCACATTGCAGATGAGTTTATGTGGCTGTCCCAGTTTTGCTGTCATTATACTTCTCTGGTTCTCTCTTCTTGCTTGACTCCAAGCTCTGTAGAATCTTCTGATTATATTTTTGTCTTAAGTTTATATTTCCTATAGAGACACAAGGGACTGACCAGAGGATTGACTGTCCAGACCCCGTGATGGCTATTTTTCCTGTTATAAATTAGTGAATTGGTATTCTGGTTTATACTTCAGTCACTTGGTGTTGGGGATAGCATCCACATAGCTCTGGGCTCCCATATGATGCATTCTTGGATCTTGGATCCAGAACTCTGCTTCCCTGAGGCCCCACCTAGGGAAACAGTGGCTGTTCCAAGCCTCATCTTAGTTGTTAGTCCCAAGTCACTGCTTTGTAGGCATAAAGTGGCTCTGTGGTCAAGTTTTATTTTCCCTCCATCTTTAATAAAGTTGTCTTGGAAGATGCCATTCCTGTACCAAAGGGGACAGCAGAAGGAAATTTGGATCTGTCCACAGTTTGACAGAGCACTGCAGGCATATGGGGTCAGGTGTTGGGTGATGAAGGCATTATGGGTCAGAGAACCTAGTGGGATTTCAACCTGAACTGAGTTAGGGTCTCCTACTCAGTCACCCTCACCTCCTGTCCCAGAGTCTGTTGTGGTTCCAGTGTTGGGAGGCACACATTGGGTTTTCCCAGGCAAGACAGTACTCTTCCTGAGTCCCAGAGTCTGAGGAACACAAGAAGGGCAGCTGAGGACCAGTCAGCAGTCTCTGGCATCTGTCCAGGTGCCAAGCTCTGCCTGCTAGATTAGGGCTATCCCAGCAGCTTATTTTGTGATCCTCTTAGGGAGGCAAATGGGGATTAAAGGCAATCTAATCCCAAGATCTGGGGATCCCCATGTGAGGCCACCAAGAACTGTCATCCAGGCCTGTTCTTGGCTGATACTGACCACAAGAGGGCCTGGAAGAGGCCAATAGATCTTTGAGGAAAGCCACGCCCATTGGGCAGTAGGTCCACGTCTACTCCTCTAACCTTCACCCTCCCTCCACCCCTTTGGGACTGCTTCCCAGAAACTTCCCACCAGAGTGTTATGATTCTTCAAGACTTGACTGGTTGTCAGTTCACCTGAGCCTATTAGCCCACCCACCTAAGGTGGGGACAGGGACTCTCCCATGTGCTTCTGCAGCCTGTCCGTCTTGAAACACTCATCACATTACGTGGCAGTTGCCTGATTACACATCTGCTGCTCTCACCAGAGCATCAGTTCCTTGATGACAGGGACTCTGTTCATCAAGAGAACAACAATATGTGGTGCTCAAGTGTACATGAGGGTATTATTGGGTTGACCAAAAAGTTCGTTTGGGTTTTCCTGTAAGATGTTACAGAAAAACCTGAACAAACTTTCTGGCCAGTCTAATACAAGGAGTCATCTCCACTGTGTGTCCCCACTTAGTTTCCCCTTCTACTTGTTAATTCTGCCTTGGAAACCCAAGTAAGATAAAAACCCCTAACATGAAGTCTTCCCATGGTTGATGTCATCAGAGGAGAGATTAGGAATTAGGATAATACTAGTATTATCCTATTAATAATACTACATGCCAGTATTATCCCCAGGGCTTCCCTGGTAGTTCAGTTGGGAAAAAATCCACCTGCAATGCAGGAGACCCTGGTTCGATTCCTGGGTCGGGAAGATCCACTGGAGAAGGGATAGGCTACCCACTCCAGTATTTTTGGGCTTCCCTTGTGGCTCAGCTGGTAAAGAATCTGCCTGCAATGCAGGAGACCTGTGTTTGATCCCTGGGTTGGGAAGATCCCCTGGAGAAGGTAAAGGTTACCTACTCCAGTATTCTGGCCTGGAGAATTCCATGGACTGTATAGGCCATGGGGTCGCTAAGTGTTGGACACGACTGAGCGACTTTTATATTATAATATTATCCCCATTCTGAGTCTGAGAAAACTGAGGTTGAGAGTTGAATGACTTACCTGTAAGTCTGTAAGACTAGGGATAGCAGACTATTCCTAGTCTGCTGTAAGATTAGGGATAGCAGAACCCAAATCCTTGAACTTTTAAGTTCAGAGCTCCTACTCTTTGGGTGTTTTAGTTGTTAAATTTAGTGCATCACATCCTGTGTGTAGTGTAGGTATTGTTGTCTTCATTTTTCTGGCGAGGAAATCCAAGTTCCTAGTATGTAAAAAACTTGCCTTAGTCCCCACAGCCAGGAATGGTAGAGCCAGGACATGTGCCAGATATGTATGACTCCGGGGCTCATGCTCTTGTACCACGCTGCTTCTCCCTCAGTACAGGAGGCTTTGGGTTTCGAGAAAACAGGCCAAGAGTGGGTGGATAATTGTGGAGGTGAGAACCAAAACTAACCTAGACCTTTTGTCACCCACCCCTTCTCTCTCCAGGCTGTGGAAACAGTGCCCTGAGCTATGAGCTATTCCTTGGGGGCTTCCCTGATGTGACCAGTGTAGACTACTCATCAGTAGTGGTGGCTGCCATGAGGGCTCGGTATGCCCACGTGCCCACGCTGCGATGGGAGACCATGGACGTGCGGGCACTGGGCTTCACTAGTGGCTCCTTCGACGTGGTGCTTGAGAAGGGCACACTGGATGCCCTGTTGACTGGTGAACAGGATCCCTGGACCGTGTCCTCTGACGGTGTCCACACTGTGGACCAGGTGCTAAATGAGGTGAGGGAGCAACAAGGGAAAGGGCTGATCAAGAACTGGGGAGGGTTTCCCTGGTAGTCCAGTGGTTAAAATTCCTCACTTCCACTGAAGGGGGCACAAGTTTGATCCCTGGTTGGGGAACTAAGATCCCACAGGCCACAAGGCCAAAAATAAATAAATATATATATTTTTAAAGAGCTGGGGATGAAGGGTTAAGGTTTTAGGAGACTTGAAGAACTTAGAAGCCAGAAGGAGGCATGGTTTGGAGCAAGTAGTGGGTCACCTTCAGGACTCTGGTTACCTGAAGGAAAAGGATATTAAGCTGGGTCAAGATTATAGGGGGCTGGAGTGGCCAGGCTCCCAGAGGTTGAGGACTGGATACTGAGTTGCCACAGAGATGAGGCAGTGGCCAGATCCCAGATAGGGAATGTCAACAGTTGACAGGAATGCAGTGCCCCCTGCATCTGACATCATTTCCTTGCTTCTACATATCTAAGATGTAGCCTGATCCCCGTGGAACAGCCAGAGGCAGAGAGGGAGCCTCACTCTTTTGCCATGGAAAGCCCTGAGCTACTGGATGTAGGGTAGAACCTGAGGTTTCACTGGGAGGGCATCTGGTGCAATACTGACCTTTGAGAACCTGGAGGTGGGCTTCTCACCAATGGCTTCTCTATCTGCTTTGCAGGTGAGCCGAGTGCTGGTCCCTACGGGCCGGTTCATCTCATTGACCTCTGCTGCCCCCCATTTTCGGACAAGGCACTATGCTCAAGCTCATTATGGCTGGTCCTTGAGGCATGCAACCTATGGCAGTGGTTTCCACTTTCATTTCTACCTCATGCAGAAAGGCAAAGAGCTCACTGTGGCCCAGCTGGCCCTTGGGGCGCAGATCCTGTCACCCCCTAGACCTCCCACCCCACCCCGCTTCCTCCAGGACTCAGATCATGAGGACTTCCTCAGTGCCATTCAGCTGTGAGGCCAGAAGCATGGTCTATCAGCCTCCCTTTCTGCTCCAGGCTCAAGTATTTGGTATTCCTGACTCAGAGTGGTCAAGTCCAAGGTGCTCACACCTCAGGGGCCTCATGCCTAAGACAGAGCTGATGGAAGCAACCCCACATGAAAAAAATACAGGTTCAGACCTCTCTTGGATTCCCCAAATGCTTCCCCCACCACACTGAACCACCAGTGATTCATGTCCAGCACAACCCTTCTGCATGCCAGCCAGACTTGGACACTTACATCCCTAGGGCCTATTACTGACCCCCATCCAACCTAGATTAACTGACAGAAGGCTGCAGACTTTGAATCTAGATTGCTTTTGACCCCAGCTCCAGCCCCAACTCTGGTGACCTATCCTGCTTAGGTTGTATTCTTTACCCAAGGAGACCACACTATTATGGTGTTTCCAGGCCAGACTGACCTGCCTATGTTTACTTGGCAACCCTTCTCTGCCAGTAACATGCACCGGAGATTCCCAAGCACCTTATTCCCTCCCTAAAAAGAAGTGGAGCCATTTGGGGCTGACTTCTTAGCAAACCAAAGCAGCAGCTACACACACACACACAGGGAGGTCTGTGTTTATTCACACACTCCTGGTACAGTGAGGATGGAGGACATTTACAAAGGACACCCCCAGGGGTTGAGAACATCTCCAGGGCCACAGGTGTCATCCAAAGATGCAGTGCAGCCCCGGTTTGGAATCCCAGGGGCAGGACACAAAGGTCCAAGGTAAAATCAGACCTGGGCCCTTGGAAAGTGTTACCTTGAGGGGAGGAGGTCTGCCAGAGAGCCGCCTGGAATCAGGCATGGGCAGACTGGTCATGTGGTTGGTTACCATGTTGGGGGCTTGTCCCATCCCAGCCTCAACACCCATCCTTTCTGCCAGGCGCAGAAGAGCGTGGCCGAGACCGTGGCGGGCAGGGCATGAACCATGAGGGGAATTAGTAAACAAAGAGTCGGATATAAAAATACAAATGTGCTGAGGAAGTCCCTTAGAAAGAGGCTGAGGCTGGGGTCACGCCAGACTGGGGTGGGGGTGAGGAGCGGCTGGGCTCAGAGGGGTGGGAAGCTCATGCAAATACGCAGCCAAACATCCCTGGCCGCGCGCGAGGTCCGACACCGGCAGGCAGTCGGTTTGCAGACCACACCTGCCGGAGAGGGGCGGGGCAGGGGAGCCGTGCGGGAGGGGACGGGCCGGGGGTTGAGGGCCGCGGGTCTCTGTCCGTTCCGGTGTGCGGGGTGGGGCTGCGGCCCGAGGTTCTAAAGTGCAAGAGCGCGGCGGCGGGCTCCGGGCCGGTCCGCGCCGCCGCTACCGCCGCCGCCGTGGTGCTGAAGCGGACAGCTCCGGAGTGCCTGGCGGCGGCGACCTGGCCGCCGCGGGGCTGGGCCCGGAGCCCGCCGCCTGAGCCGGCGCGTCTACACTCCGGACGGCGGCTTCTCCCCCATCCCCTTCAGCACGTCGTCTATCCGGTCATCCTCGATCACCACTGCGCAGGGAGAAAGCGCGTCAGCCGCGCGGCCTCGGGGGGCAGCGGCGAGAATGGGCCCCGGGTCCTCGCGCCCCATTCAGCTACTGCCCGTGGCTCAGAGACGCCCCTGGGACCCCCGTGCTACAGTGCCCTCCCCATCTGCTCTTTCTTGCCGATTCAACCCAAGGCCGACCCCCAGCTCCCATAGACCCGCTCCTCTCCTTGCGGAGGAACGCCCCTCTTCCTAAGACTTAAGCGTTCAACCTTCCAGTCCAAATACTCCCGCCGCCTGAGCTCTCCTACTTCCGAGCTGATGGGAAAGCTTTTGCTGATGGGATCCCCCTCTTCCACCCTGCCTTCAACAGGATCCCCTCCTCAACCCGAATCTCCATCTATTCCAGCCCTCTCCCCAATCTAACCTTGTGGTTTCAACCCCTCTTCCGATCCTGGCACCAACAGAGCCCCTTCCCCATGCAAACAACCAGGACAACCGAACCCCCGCCCCCCTGCCCACTCTCCAATCGGCATCCCTCCCCTCGCGAAGATTCTTTCGTAGCATACACCGACTCAGCGTTTGAAAATCCTGTAGAAGCGGCCAGTCGCCCAACGTCCCCACTTCAGGCAGCCCCGAATGCCCTGGTCGGCCCCTCCCCCTCGCCCGTGTGCCAAGGCTCTACTTCCAGAGGTGGCGAGCATCGAATCCGGGGCACTGCGTTCCCAGGAGAGGAGAAGAGGGGGACACAACACTGCAGCAGGGACCACCCTCTACCCGCCCCCCCGCCCCCCAACCGCGGCTGGCTGCGCTGGTCTGCGGCAAGAGCTGAGGGCGCTTGGCGGGGAACTGCAGCCGGGGGGCGCCCGGGGGAGGATTTCTGGGTCAAGCGGCGACTCCGGGTCCCGGCCGTGTACCTCTCTTGGCTCGGCCGATCTGGCCCAGCTTGGGGGGTCGCTTGGCTTGGTTGCCCGCGAAGAAGGAGTTGGTGTCCTGCAGGCGGCAGCTGAAGGAGAGGTCAGAGCCCTCGGGGTCGGCGCCGAAGCGGCCCATCTTGTCCTCGCTGTAGGGCAGGATCTCGGACATGGCGGGCGCGGGACTGCGGCGGGGCGCGGGCGGCGGGCTAGCTGCCGGACCGGCCCTCGCTCAGCAGGGGAGCCGGCGGAAGGATGAAGTCATGCAGCATCCGGGGCTGCGGAGCCAAGCGGGGCCTCCTCCCCCGCGCCTCCGCCTCCATCCAGCTCTCTGCGGAGATACTGGAGCGAAAATGGGAGGGTCCTGCCATTGGCGGGAATGGCGCCTGGGCGAACCGTACCGGCCACAACGGGTGCGGGATCTGGCTGGGGGTGTGTGTGTGTGTGTGCCGGGACCCGAGCGCCTCCAGCTCTCTGCGGAGATACTGGAGCGAAAATGGGAGGGTCCTGCCATTGGCGGGAATGGCGCCTGGGCGAACCGTACCGGCCACAACGGGTGCAGGATCTGGCGGGGAGAGGCGGGACTGGGGGGAAGGCAGGAGCGACCCCGGCATGCGAGGGGCGGGAGGAGAGTCTTGCACACAAGCTCAGAGATGCTTGCTAGGGGCACTGGGAATTGGGGGGCGGGTCGGGGCCGGAAGCAGGGCCAGCATTCGAAGCGGGGCGGACACCGGAAGCGTGGCGGGGGGAGAGTCGGATACGCCGGGAGGTGTGCGGGAACCCGCAAGACGCGGGAATAGCTCAGGCCAATGGGTGGTGTCCCCACCTTTGGCGCGCTCTCGTGTGGGATTGCTCTTCGGGTCTGAAACAGATCATCGGGAGTCTGTTTCTGTGACCGCCTTCTGTTTCTGTCTGTGCCTATTTATTTGTCAGTCTATCTCGACGTGTCTGTGTCTCTGCCTCGGTGCCCCATTTCTTTTTGCGTCATAGTCTCTGTCTACGTCTCTCTTTTTTAAATTTTAAGCTATACTAGTTTGAGAAAGACCTTTGCTTTACACAGCAGTAAAAATTATGCATTGTACATTGCATGAGTGTGTGACAAACTCTTTGCGACATCATTGACTACTGTAGCCTGCCACGCTCAGTCCTTGTAATTTTTCAGGCAAGAATACTGGAGTGGATTGCCATTTCCTACTCCAGGTGTCTACGTCTATCTCTTTGTCTCTGTTCCTCTGTATCCATGCTTGGGCTCTTGTGTGCCCTGGTGGTACTTGGGGACCTCAGGAGCTGGGAGAGCCGCAGGGCGCGGCGGGCGCTTTGAGCCCGAGTTTCGGCGCCAGCATCAGGGCTGGGGTTGCAGGTCTGCCTTGGTTAGCGCGTGTCGGCCCAGTTACCGAGACTTCTCCAAGGAGAGAGCAGAGATTAGTGCCGAAACTCGGGCTCAAAGCGCGCGCTGCGCGCTGCGGTTCTCCCAACCCCCGGGGACGGCGCTGCGCTTGCAGTGTAGGAGGAATGAATGACGGCGTCGCGGGGGGCGCGCTGGCTGCAGGTGACGCGGGGAAGCCCGGAGCGCCTGAGGACGCGACTCGCGCCGGTGAGTCCGGAGGTAGAAGGGGAGGGATAGAGGGCGTCTCCGCCCTGGGTGCTGGGAATCACGTGACAATTCTCGCCGCACCGACGAGCGTGCACCCTCTTCTCCCTCCTCCTCTGGCCGTCAGCAGCGCCGTCACCTGCTTGCTAGCGCGCTGGGGCTCTGGCGCAATCTCTGGCCTTGGGGGAGGGAGGTGTCGCACATTCGATGACAGTGACGACAGCGCTGATAAGGATAATAATCATCCGAGTAATAATCATTAAGTCCATACTCAAGGCGGAGGGTTCTCTACCGTTCCTGAAGCACATTTCCTCCTTCCCTCTAAATTACGTAGCTGGTGAGGCGCCTAGTGTTGGGTCTCCTTCCTCCAACAATTGTTAGTTCCAGGGACACAAAGGCGAATGCCATCATGGCTGCTCTAGGACGAGGCTGGGGAGTGCCAGAATTGCCTCTGTACAGCCTCACTCAAGACCAAAGACCTGACTGAAATGAAAGTTGCTCAGTCCGTCGTACTATTTGAGACCCCTATAGTCCATAGGATTCTCCAGACCAGAATACTGGAGTGGGTAGATACCTTCTCCAGGGATCTTCCTAACCCAGGGCTCAAATCCAGGCCTCCCGCATTGCAGGCAGATTCTTTACCAGCTGAGCCACCAGGGAAGCCACCTGTACAGCCTCACTCAAGACCAAAGACCAAAGGCCTGTCCCTATCAAACCCTCCTCTGCTGTGTCCTGATCTCTGGGATGAGGGCTGGAGCTGGAGGTGGAAGCCCTGCTGGGTGAGCAGAGTCTCCAGACCTGGAAGGACAGGAGAAGCTGGAGCCCAGGGTTGCTAGGGGAGAGTTCAGAGAATTCCACCCCTACTGGAGGTTGTTCAGCCATGGGTTCCAATCCAAGTTCTACCACTTCCTGCGTGACCTTGAGCAATTAGTTTTTTAATTGACCCCCACAATTTTTAAAAAAATTAGTTCACTGGTACTTGTAACATTTTAGGGAGATATGGAAAATCACACAAAATCTTTCATATATATCCTCCAGTCTTTTTCTCATGTATTTGCATAACATGCATACATACCTCTCTGAGCCTCCATGTTCTAGTGATGATAGAGATGATAGAGCTTACACTAACAGTTTTGGAGAACTTGTCTTAAGGTGAAGTGACTTGTCTCAGGAGATAATGCACTGCCCCTACCAAAAGTGATCAAGGGCGCATCTGGGTCCTTGCCAAGAATAAGCTGAGAGCACTGGGTGGGAAATTGAAACATTCCTGGTTTCTCCTCTCAGAATGAGAGAGAATGGAGGAACAGCAACTTAACTTGGTGTTCATTTGGTTAGCTCCTTCTTAAATAATCTTACTCCTGTAAGACACATGCTGGATTGTGATTAAGGCAAAAGACATAAGTGCAGAATTGTAAAGATACAGTAATACATGATTCAGCTATGTTGTGAAAATTTGGAGCGAGTTCTTTATTTTTTTAAAATAATTTTATTTATTTAGGGCTGCACTGGATCTTTGCTGCTGTACATGGGCTTTCTCTAGTGGTTACTCTCTAGTTCTGTTACATGGACTTTTCATTCTGGTGGCTTCTTTTCTTGCAGAGTACTAACTCTAGGCACAGGGACTTCTTCAGTAGTTGTGGCACTTCTCAGCATGTGGAATCTTCCCAGAGCAGGAATTGAACCCGTGTCCTCTGCATTGGCAGGCGGATTTGTTAATTAATGGGTCACTTGGGAAGTCCAGAGCAAGTTCTTTAAATTACCATCCTCTGCTTAAAGTCTGATGTTCTGCATCCCTGTCCATGAGATGAAGATTCATTTTCACAGCTAAAATGAAGTAAAGATTGTTTGGATTGTTGTGACAATTTGAATTTCTTTTGAAAGCCCCTCAAAACCTACTAGTGGGATTGAATCCATACGTTCTCAGCAGAATAATGTCTTTTGACAGTTGAGTATGAATGACACTTTTATTCAAGTGGAAACCATAGGCCTGTGTAGTGAGCTGGACAGAGTCTCCCCTAAAACTTCTGTCTACCTGGAACCTCGGAATAGACCTTATTTGAAAATAGGGTCTTTGCAGAAGTTAATTAGTTAAATTAAGCTAAGGTCATACTAGATCAGGGTGCACCCTCACTTGTGTCTTTGTAAGAAGAGGACAAATGCACAAGACATATACACGCTTGGGAAGGCCTTGTGAGGAAGCAGAGATAGGACTGGTGTGGCTGCAAGCCAAGGAACACCTAGCATTGCTAGGAGCCACAAGAAGATGGAAGAGGCAAGGAAGGATTCTTCCTTAGGGCTTACTGAGGGAGCATGGCCCTGCCTAGATTTTGGACTTCTCACCTCCGGAACTGTGAGAGAATAAGTTTCTGTTTTTCTTTTTAGTTTTTCCTTTGTTCTTGGTTTGTTTTCTGGCTGCACCCCAAGGTATTAGTTCCCAGACCAGGGATCGGACTGGTACCTCCTAAAGTGGAAGCACAGTGTCCTAACCATTGGACTGCCAGATAATTATAAGTTAAGTTTGTAAGTTACAAGTTTCTATTTTAAGCCACCCAGTTTCTGGTAGTTTGTTACAGCAGTCCTATAAAACGGATACAATGTTACAAGTATTTTGGGGTCATCCTTTTACATCTCTCATGATCATGTCTCTCCTTCCTTAAGCTCTCTGGGGACCCTTTGCTCTTACTCTGTCCCTCAAAGAAAGCCTATACCACGAAGGTATTTCTGGGATTCTTCTTTTTAGCAGAGGCTGATAAATCACAAAAAAGAATGAAGCAGATCTGTGTGGAATGACATGGTTAGATCTCCAAGACCTGTCAAAATATCACCAAATAACAAGTGTAGAGTGTGATTTCACAAGTGTGAAAAAAGTATACACACATATGTATGCACACACACACACACAGTGTATTTAGATATGTAAATACATGTAAAAGAAAGAAATACATACCAAACTGCTAATAATGGTTATCTCTGAGAATGGTACAGGGATCCTGGCAGAATGAAGTTCATCTTTTATTTATATACTTCTGGAGTATATTACATTTACAATAAAAGGGTTTTAGTGATTTAAAAAAAAAATTTTGAAACCAATCATATAGTCCATTTATCAAACATCACACTCTGACCTGAGACAAATCAGTTGACTTAAAAAGAGATTAGTGGTTAAGAGCATGGAGTTTAGATTCAAAGCAAGAATCTTCCTTCTCCTTGATGTGTGACTTTTTAGGTATGTTATTAAGTGTCTCCCATCTGGACAGTGATATTGGTAGACTCTATCTTACTGAGTCATCATGAGTATTGAATAAGTTAACATTCAAAAAGTGCTTTGGTAGTGCTAGATAATAGAATTGTTAGGTCTTATGCAGGAAAGCATAAAGAAGTTAAAAGTAACCTCATCATTAGATATATTGATTAACATTTTGTTGCATGTCCTTTCAATCTTTTTCTTAACCTATGCTTTTATACTTTTTTGTTTAACAAAAATGAGATTTTAGATTTATTTTTCTCTCCCACTTAACTCTATTTGGAGACCATTTCCTGATAATATTAACTCTTTTCCATCATTTGTAAATGATGGAATGTTTGGATGTCTGTATGGATGTTTGATTTATCAAGACCTCTACCCTTGGACATTGAATCCCCTCCCATTTTTTGTGTGTGTTAATATAGATGGTGCTGAGATGAACATATGGTATAGGAGCAAAATGGCCCAAATACTTTGTAGCTCTTC